CCCCAAAACCCCAAAACCCCAAAACCCCATGAATAAATATTTGAATTGAATTTGAATTTTATGAAATTAAATTAAATAAATAGTTTAATTAATTATATTTTTTGAGACTTTTTTGAATTGAAGCAGGTTGCTTTTATACCTTAACAGTCTCAGTTTTTCCTCATATTCATCATTATTTTCTCTTACCTCTTCTTTTCCCTTTTCTTATCTCTTTTTTTGTCTCTCTTTTAAGCTTTGATCTATTCCCACTCAACTGCATTACTAACCATCATGATTTTATGATGTCTTTTTCTCTCTTATCTTTTATCTAGAATGGACTTCTTTACTTAGTTATAAAGAGTTAGGAAGAATGCCTTTTCCAAATTGTTTGAGAAATAATCGACCATTTAATAGGATAATGTCTTTGGAGGTGTATTTTACAGATACTAATCGTCAGTATAGATCCTGAACACTAGTTGTAGGATAGATTCCACAACTGCTCTTACATATTAGTTGTCTTTATTCATTTCTGAATGCTCTTCAAATAAGCTTAACGATTCCATGAAAAATCTGAGAATGCACTCTAGCCTTTCACTAGCTTGATTAATATTCAGCATTATTTTTCTTCCTATCAATGATAACTTTTTGAAGATTGACTTGACTTCTTCAAGTTAAGTTTCAGACTTTTAGTTCAGCTACTGTCTTAACAATGTGAGTTAATTGTCAACTAAAATCTTTGAGAGATCTGATGTCATGGGAAGAGACTTGAAAGTGTTTGTATAAGAGGCGACAATTTTGAGTTGATCTTTGCTATCTTCCAATTTATAAAGAGTTGTGAGGTTTAATTTAGAATTTATCATATTCTTTAAGAAGCTCTGAATCGTTTAATGAGCTACAAGTTTGATCCAATAAATATGATGCTAAGTGATTATTAAAGAAAGCTGAGGCAAGAACCTTATGTACTTTGCTAGTAACTTGAATGCATTTGATTATGTTTCAGATTTCGTGAGGAGTTTGTTTATATTTTCAAAAGCATAGTAGAGCGGACTCCATTGATCTTTATCTTCACTTTCATCATCATTGATTGTAATCAGTTTCTAGTCATTATTCTCCATTAAGTCGATACTCTAGAAGAACTTCCTCATATTCTCATTTTATATTTCGTCATCTTCTCCCTAACTATCATCCGCATCTCCTGCTTGCTTTTTCTTGTCAAGCTATTTCTTGAATTTTGTATATTCATCAGTTATGATAGGCATACACACATCTGCAATGATGTTTTTAATGTCATTTGGATTCTTAAACAAGGCTGGAATAGATTCAATCATAATGGAAAGAAGATGCAATTTAGCATGCATCAATGATTATCTCTTAACTGCATTTTCAGAGTTCATTTGAATTATTGTATTGAATATTGTCTTTGTCTTATTCGCAGAAATTTTGACGAACATCATTCTCAGCACTTATGCGGCCTTATCCTTGCATCTTTTATTCTTCTCATTGACCAGTCTTATCATTAATGTAAATGTCCATTTTTCACACTCATTGTCTAAAATTTCCTAAGGCATTTTGATTGATATCTTTTCCATAACTTCTAGGATTTGATGTCTACCTTCTTGATCGAAATAAGTTCCCACATTTTTCAATAAGAAATTTAGGTGCTAAGTTAGTCTCTCTTGTTCTAATGGATATTCGATTAAGAATGTAACGAAAATTGAAGAGCACAGCGATCTCACAGAAGGTGACAGTGATGTAATGATAAGATCCTGCACATTTTTATCGATAATATCATAGAGGTCAGGGGACAGGAATTTTCTGAATACCAAGGCTCTAAGTAGATGGAATACATTTATTTATGAGGGATTATTAGCACCTTGCGAGTTTAGGTTTTGCTTGATTACTTAAATGAGGGTTTTGAGCTAAAGTTAATTAAGGTCTTGATAAGTTGAGTATGTTTTAATGAGTTCAGCAGTACACTTGAACAATGAATTCACAAAGTCAGAGTCCTGGATTGATGAAGAAGTACTAGTTTACTCGAATAGCTTAAACAATCTGTTTAGGAATTTCTTCATGAGTTGTTAGAAGCTTGGTAAGCCAAGATGAATAATCATGCCTAATACATGCAGAGTACTAACTACTATTGGATTATGGTAAGTTTTAAATGCATTTAACAGCAAAGGTACGAATGGATCTAACTTAGCCTTGAGTTCTTCTTTAATGTCTTCTGAATTCTTTTTAATCTAGCTATTAAGATCTTCATTTAAAAAGTTGTTGCTGTTTTATTGACCTTAATCTTCATTTGAAAGAATTAATCCTTTGTTTTTCAGTGCTTTTTTCATGCACATTAGACCGAATGATGCTAATACCCTTCCACTTAGCTCTTCAGCCTTTTTACTATCTACAAGTTAATTCCCTTTGGTCCATTTCATATCTATTTTAAAAGTCATTTCTTTGTACTCTTTCTTAGTTTTTCTAAAAGTATCTTCCTTCATAGTTTTAGCTCCATAATCCCTCTTTGCTCTTTCATCATTGATCTTTATTTTAGCTGCCTATATAACACCTTTGTCTATAATACTGTACATAAACATCAATAATTAATCTCCTCTAACACTCTCATTTTTAATTATTGAACTACTTATTCTATTTAAAAGTTCTTCGCATTGCTAAATTTTGCCTATGCTTGGATTCCCTTCAAGTGATCTAATAATCGGGCCAATCAATGTAAAGAAATTCTTCTTAAAATCGATGAATTAAGCGAATATTTCAAAGATTGGAATAGCTTTTTTGCCTTTCGCCTCCTTTATCTTATTCTTTTACTGATCTTCAACTGAAGCATTCTTATCATCATTAACAAGCTCACCAAAGAGCTCATCCATGAGCTTTTCAGAGGTAATTTCTAATAATCTATGAGAAACCATACCGTTTTTAAGTATTTTCTTCTCAACCAGCTACTGAAGTAAGAACAGAATAGTGAAAATGTAGGTTTAAAGTTGATACCCTCTTGTCAATAAATCATTCATTATTGTGAAAGACAAACTTAAGAATTGTGGAGATACTTCAATGAGTAATTTCAAAAGACTCTTTCTTGCTTTTTCTCTATGAACTAGAAGTCTAGATCTCAATCCTTTGCTGATGATGTTATTGATTAGCTTGCTAAGTTAGTTAATGAATTGATCAATCGGTAGTTTTCTAATGAGTTTCGCAATACCAAGCACCACAAATGATCTTATTGATCCATAACCTAAATTCATGCCAGTTTCATTGGATGAGCCATCCATCTTATCTTCTTTCTCTTCATAATCAGCAAAATGTCTTTCTAATATAGGTAGTACCTTTTAATAGAGTTTTTACTAGACATTTTATAGCAGCATCTTATTATTCTTATCAGTCTAAACTTTTAACTCTTATTGCTATTTTTTCACCAACTATTACTCTTCATCTTCTTCTAAATTATCATCAGATTCAACTTCTACTGCAAATTACTCTAATGGCTTAGCTTCGTTTTCCTTAAGAATTTTCTCAACTATATTCTCAAAATCTTGATCATAATTTTGATCATCCTCACTCTGCTATTATTTCTTTAGTGTCTTCACAGCATCATATTCCTCATCGATAGTGTTTTCTTGACTCAATTTGAAACCATTTAGAACTTAGCAGATACATTTAGTGATTACTCTTTCCTTTTATTTCTCTCCATCTTCTCCTTTATTTCCCCCACTTAATTGATTGAAGCTGATTTTGCTCTGTGATTTATTTAATTTGTATAGAAGTTATTTCAACATTTTATAATAGTCTGACCATTTTAGTAGTGATGCAATAGCAGAGTAAGCTTTAAGTGCCTCATCCATAATCATACGCTTTTCTTGCTTACTATAACTTACAGTATTTCTTCTACTTTCCTTTTGAGATCTAGTGCCAAATATTATATAGTTTAAGAGTGGAATAATAATAGCTTATATTGCCTTATAATCACTAAGCTCCTTATTTTATAATTTAGAAATCAGCATTTGTATTTGCTTTGCTCTAGATTTAAGTTTAATTGCTAGGAATTTATTGAAGAAATCATCTTAATCTTCCTTTTAAGACACTAGCAAATTCAGATACTGTAAGTTTTATTGAGACTTAAATGATCCCTATGTCTTAGAATAGAATATGATTAATAATCTTAGTGCCTCAAGAATCGTTTTCAGAACAAGTTCATCTTTTATGGTTTTAACCTACTAGAGTAGGAAACTTTCTAAATGAGCAATCACAGATCCAAACTCTTTGAGGACTTGAGTTTAATCTATTAGATGAAGTTCATTCAAGTGTTCAAAGAATTATTTTAAAAAGTGGCATGAATAGTCTCTAACTGAGAACTCATCACTTTAGAGTAAAAATAGTACCGAATAACTAATCTATCTTAAATCGTAGTGAGTGATTGTTCTAAAATGATTGATGTCTAATTTCTCGAGGGTTTTAATGATTAAGTCGTAGTCCAGTTCAGTGTCGGCCAAGCCTCTCTTAATCTTATTTAAATTGCATATAATCTCAATAGTTCCTCGTTTCATTTTAAGATCAGGAATGCTAACTTTGAGATTGTCTGAATCCTCCACAAATAAATTGTCTAGTAGACCCTTACTGAGTAAGTTTCTGACTTTTAAGGATTTTACAGTTAGGAATAGCAAGATAATCTTTTCAATTTAATCTTTTGATACAGAGGGAGATTTTTATAATAGCGAGCAAATAGATTTCACACTGTAGAGAAGAAGCTCTTCATAAAACGTGGTAGAGTTAGTTTGAGAAGAGAAATCAGTATGCAATGATTTTAGAGAAGCTATCGAAATTGTCATATCCAAGAAATCTAGATTTATGAATTAGAGTTATATCAATATTACCTTCATTAAGTTTATCCCCTTCTTTCAAATAGTGTGTTAGTTCGCTCATTATATAAATAATGTCCTTTAAAGTCTCTTAATTTGTCTCATGTACCGATTGCTTACCACCAAGAGCTTATAACTTGTTCTGTTTTTATTACTGTTTTTTCTTGAAGAGCAAAGCATTCTTGAGCCTAATAAATCATTATTTGCATAAAAATTACTCTGAAAGATTGTTTTAACTGAAAATGCTAATGCTCCTTGCAATTTGGCTAATGTTCTATTCAAGGATAATTTTTGCAATTTCCCTTTCCTTAGTGATAATATTTTTATCAATTTCCATAGTTTCAAGATCATCCTAATCTTCATCTTGTTACTTTTGATTTTTCCTTCTCTTGCCAATGAAATGTAGATCTTTTTTTTCCTCTAGTCCATTTATTGATTTAGAAATGAGATTTTTTAGTAGTGAGAATATCATTTCATAGACTTCTGAGACTATTTTCTTCTGTTCTAGCATTTTCATCAGTGCTGGCAAAACATCCTTATAAGTTAAGTAGTTCTATAATGTGTTCATATTCGCATTCCAGTTAGTCGTCAAAATTTCTATTATTTGAGATTTATCACTTATATACTAAAGAAAATAAATGTAAAAGATTTTATCTTACATTCTGATGAAGTAGAGGGATCTAATCGCATATAACTTCAGTATAGAAAATTCCTGAAAATACCTTAACAAATTATTCATCATAGTTAAACTTAGAGTACAGTTGAATAGCAATACCTAATGCTTTTCTCATGCTGGCTTTACTTTAATGTCCAACAAATCTATATAAACTGTCTTTTTAGTTTCCATCTTAAGCTTGATAACTTTAACCAGTTACTTATAATGAAATCTAATCTTCTTTTTCCTCTACTAGGGAGAGTTTAAGTTGCTTTATAAACATTTTAGTCAGAGTCATTATTGCTACGAGGACTTTAGTTAATAAGGGCAAGAAATTGCTGAGTAAACCTCCTAGCTACTTGATTATTATGGCTAAAGAGCTAATATAATTGAGATAGACACTGAAGCTGACTTCACTTAGCTTTTGAAGCATCTATGGGAAATCTAAATCCTTATGATCTTTGTAGTTGATTTCAAATGCACTAAGTGTTTCATTGATAAACATAAAGAGTTCAGTATCGGGGTTGAGTGAACTCATGAAATTGTACACTATATTTCTCCTTGTGAAAACTGTCTTCTAGTTGATTGAACCCTTTTTCTTCAGCAACTTAGAGAGTAATAGTTTAATAACGATTGGAAGAATTTCATTTCTATGCATATCTTGAAGCTTTGGAATCGCACTCTTATCACTTTTTTTAATTGCATCACCTTATTCGAGGGTAGTTTAATCTCCTTCCTAGGCTTACTTTTAACTTCCAAAGTTCAATGCAAGGATTACATCCTTAAATTTCTCATCATCAGTAAATCCCTCTAGCAATTTCCTGTAATGCTTGAGCAAACCTCCTCTGTATTCTGATTTGATAAGACAATCTAGCGATAATTTCTAAAGTTTGGTGTCACTTGTAACTAGCAGTTTCAGCATTATGTTTTAGAAGTCTTACAGTCTTTGCATATTCTTTAAGTTATCTGCACGATTAAAGATTTCAACATAGCAATAAAGCTTGGAGTAGGTTTATCTCTTATATTTTGTATACTAGTCTGAGTCAATCATGTTGGCATAAGTCATTCTGTCTAGTAAGTCCTAATTCTGCGAGATTTTCTGCTATCTTTAGGAGTTCAAAGCTCTGAATTCTTTATCGATGAAATCATAAAACTAACTCATTAGTTATTATCTCAACTAAGTATTGCTCATGATGGGGTCAATTTAAAGTTATATAGTTTTAGTCAAGTTATAAAAGAAATCTTTGACCTCCAGGAATTCATGATTGAGCGTTTGCTCCTTTATATAGCTTTTATAAAGCAAGGATTGATTAGGATACTCGGATTTTTCAGATGCAATCTTGTTTTAAATAAAGTCTGTCAAGATTTGATTATCATGGAAAACTTGAGTTAGAAGACCGTAATTTTTCATTAGTTCCAATAATCTCTTGCCATATATCTCTGGGTTATGGTTAATAATTGAGCCAATAGTTTCTTAAATTGATTCAAATAGTGGCGTAAACTTAATCCAAAAGCCTCCAATCAAGAAATTATAAGCTGCTTCTACGTATTCAACGGGAACCAGTTCAGTTTCTAGTACCGTTTAAATCTTTTTAATCAATAATATCTTAGTTTTTTCAGTTTCAAAAGCAATCTTAGTCTACTCAAAGGTAAGCATGAGCTCTAGTATTTTGCACTCACCCTTATAACTCTCAGATAGATCAAAGTGCTTTTCATCCTCAGAGTCTGGGATTATAAAGTGAAGCACCTCAAATTTCTATAGTAGGAGTAAGGTTTAGAGTCTTAATTCAGTCTGATTCTTGGCTAGATTAAGACTTAATTTTGTAAATAACTCTTTGTTTGAATTTAACTAAATACTAGAAATCTCACTCTAGTTTATTGATTTCAGTACTATTATATCATCATGTGCATTTCTAAGAAGACTCAACAGCTATAAGCTATTTTATTCTTACTATTATATCTAGAGAGCCTCTTTTATAGCTTAGTTTTAGCTGACTAAGTTTCTTGATTATCCAATATTGACAAGATCAATAGTAGATGCAAGAGCATTTTATAAATCATTGTAATCCTGTTCAGAAAGGTTATAGTTATTTAATACCAGGTTTTCCATCAATAACTAACTGAAATCAATTTTTTAGCTTAGGCCATTCTATTTTTTTCCTGAACCTGTTATCTAAGTAATTTTGAGTAATTTATTTAATTTTTCAGTGACCTTGCAATTCTGGAGAAACCTAAAAACAAAATATCTCTACAAATCGCTAATCTCGGCTTTAATAATTGTAACTAATTTCTTCTCGGATTAATCATTAAGCTCAACTTCAACTTTTTCATTTATTTTAGATGCAAGACAGATAAACATTGCTAACATTTCTATTGTTACATTATAATCATCACTGTCTTGCAAATATTTCAGGACATACTGGTTTATTGACTTAATTAAAGTCTTAATCTTCCACTAATGACTATCGCCTGAAAATTCCATTACATTCTTTGAGCTTTGCTTTAAACCAAGAATGCTAGACCAGTCTAAATCATCAAATCCTTTAATCTCACTTGGGCTAGATAAAATAATCTCGTAGTAGCTATGTAAGAGTTCTATTTTATGTTCAGTGCTATCAATAAGCTTATAAATGTGAGAGTTGAAAATTGTCTATGATTGCTAGAGATCAATGGATGATTTAGCTAAAATACTTCTGACTTAATTGTGCTTGAAATAATAAAGAATCTGAATGGTCCTTGCTAAATTCTTTTTGGTTTCTAATGCCAATTGTTTTGAGAAGGCAAGATTTTTATTCAAAAGATTGTTGAATACCTATAGCATTTGAATAACTCCGTAGTTACTTAACCTTTTGCCATACTTAAGTCTTATTTAATCCTTAAAGATGTCTAGAATCAAGTTTAAGTCTGATTCCTATTTATTATACTTCAAATTACTTATCAGCATATCAAAAATTGGTTACTACTTTTCAGTGTCAACTTCGTTCAACTACTTAAGTAAGAGGCATCTTATTAGCATTTATATAGTTTGATTATATTCGTTCTATTTTAGATAGTCAAAAATACTGTCCATAACTTCATTATACTTAGAGTGGAGTCCTTCTCCTGCTCCATAAACTACTTCAAATAATAAATCTGCAAGACCTAATACTCTATTTAACTTGCTATCAGACAAATGATCTTTATTGTCAGATTTTAAATCCTCCATCACTTCATCCTCATCTTTTTTTTCTTGCAAAATTTTTGCAAGCAATTTGATTGTATTTTGATTAAAGCTAATCTTTCTGAGTACATAACTGATTGATTATGATGCAAATTTCCTGATGTACCTATTCTTATGAATAAGCAACTCAGAATACATATCGCAAAAGTTCTCAAGATCTTCCTTAATACTTTTGTTCAGGTATTTTACTCCAAAAGAAATCACTGTGAATACCTTATCTAGTATTTATATTTTCTACATGTCAATTACACTAATTACTGCTGGCATTATCATATTTAAGAACTCCTGATATATATCTTGTCTAAAATCCTTAATCAATGCTATGAGTAGGTCAAGAACTGATATCTAAATAGCATAAATTGGAGCTACTACAGCATCTTTTCCATTATCTTTTGGTGTCAAATACTAAATTAGCATATTTATTAGCTTTGACTTGTTTAGCACTAATATAGGGTAAGAGAAGCAAAATGGCTCTAGTACCTTATATACTTTGCTGAATTCGATAGTCTTATTATTAGCTTTCTCAGTTCTTAACAGCATTATAAAATTGCTATTGAATAAACCCTCCTCATCATCTTTTTCAGACTATTTCAGAATGCTATCATACACGAAATTTGTCTCTAGATTATTAGATTATTTAACATCAATCTGCTTCAATTTCTCATAAAATCCTTCGAATACGTAAGTGTTATCTCTTTTAGTCTGTGCTGAATATTTGGATTTCTTCTTAATGAATTTGGAAAGTTTGTTCTTCTGCACTTTTTCTTCTTTTTGCTTTGGCTTTGCTTTTCTGATTTTCTATACCATGTATTAATTGAGAATAAAATATTTATATGCTAATAGTATTAATCCACTATTTAATACCTCTAAATTCATTCTTTGGGGTTTTGGGGTTTTGGGGTTTTGGGGTTTTGGGG